GGTTACCTACGCAGAAGAGGACGAGGGCTACAGAAAAGAACTCTGGCTTTTCACATTGCATTCTACAGGACTGTATTGTCCTTGCTTTATAACTGACAAAAAATGCAATATGAAAACAAAGTCAGAGACTGGCATTCACAACCCACATGAAATCATTGCTCAAAAAAGCAGGACCAACAAATACTGCCTGAAACACTCATCGCTGAGGCTGACACTGAAGCTCACTTATGTTTACGTTTTTCTTTCCAGCCACTGAAGAAACAACCTAAGGAAGGCTGTCCCAATAAAGATCCTCAGGGAAAAACACCGAAATGACGGGGGTGCTTCTCTGACTACAGAAAGGGGCACAGGAGCGTCTCCTCACCCAGGCGCTGTGGCTGAGAGCAGCTCTTACTTCAAGGGCCAGATGATCTCACAAGTCCTCTCCATCATGATCAGAGACCCGTTCTGCATTCTCGTAAGGGAACCAAAAATACAGCCTCTTTCCTTTTTCCTTGGGGACACCCACCACTTAAAAATGCTTTTAAAGAACTCAACTGCCTTCGAATGTCCTGGGAACTATTAAAGTTGACAATACTTTCTGTGGAGCCCCGAATTTACAATGCCTTCCATTGCTCCACCCACTGAGAACCAAATGACCAAAATTAGCCTTAAAACACTCAAACTTGGGGGGCGCCTGGGGGACAGAGTCAGAACAGCATCCAACTCTTGATTTCAGTTCAGGTCATGATCTCAGGGTTGTGAGTTCAAGCCCCACATCAGGCTCTGCACTCAGCACCGAGTCTGCTTCTCTCTCTCCCTCTGCCTCTGCTCGTGCTCTCTCTTGCTCTCAAATAAACAAATCTTTAAAAAAAAATACTCAAACTTGGATTGGAAACAATGGTTAAGGAGAGGTCAATAAAAATAATGCAATGAAAAGGTTTAATAAACTAATCGCAAAGGGAGAAAACCCTAGAAATGTCACCATTAAGGCAGAGCTGAGCACACCCCCTCTATCACACTTCAGCCTCCCAGGACGAGGAGTGCCTTCCATCTACGGCCTCCTCCGAGCCTCGAGTTACTAACAACAGCGCAATCTGATGGGGAAGGCTATGAATTCTCAAAGACACGCAGTATCCACATGCTCCTCTTCAATGCCCTCCCTTTGCAAAAATCATACAAGATCTGTCATCAGACATAAAACTGGGTGCCAACCACACCCTGATAGAGAGATCCAGCCACATTATTACTAAGTACGGTTCTCCCCAAGGCAAGACCTCAAGGTCTGTTTGGGGGCCGGGGTCCCCCTTCTCCTTGTCCACTCTGTTAGCTATTCTTTTGCTGATTCTGCCCCTCCCCACCACCCAGCTGCATGGACGCTGCGATGGACACACACTCACCATCCCTCACCAGTCTGCGTCTGCTAGAATCCCGAACTGGTTGTCCTCTCGTCAACGTGTAGCCCAGAGGATCTACCTTGTATCGGGCATCCACAGCTTAGTGAGCAAACCTCCTCAGAAGGGGTGCAAGATGGATCCCAGGACATCACACTGTGCTCTGCAGTACGAGACGTGGTAACTACACATCTTTCACATGAAGAACAGAGGACGCAGAATAGGGGTTAATATTTGCTCCATCACCATTTACCTCCGTAACATCATGAATGTTGCTTCAAAAAGCAGCTTAATCAGGATTCAAAGTGTGAATGGACTGGTTACCCCTGAACTGATCATGCTCAACTGTGTGATTTCTTACCTTTATCCTCCGAACTTTTAATCCTAAAATGAGGTGAAAAGAGAATAGGGGGATATTTAAAGGTCTTCTATTTTCATGCCCATTAAAAAAAAAAAAAATTAACAAAGTTGGTTAGAATCTTGATTGCCTAAATGATTTTTACGACAATTTTCCTAGTTTCAGAACGCGTACCCTAAACCAAAGAATTGGGAGTGCTATTTCTCAAAGACATTCAGGTGAAGAGCAGGTCATTTTATACAGCAATCTGAAATGGTGGTTATCTATAGTTTTATTTTCTTTATCAAATTTTAGGTTCAAAATTAAATTGCTTTTTCTTCCCGGGAAAGAAAAATATCAGACATTTGCTGCAGTTCTGGGTCATTCATGGCCTCTGCCCATAGGTTTGGATATGTATTTTTGTGGAAAGAGGAAAAAGAAGGAGAAAGACAAAGAAAAAAGGTAGAGTAGGGAAAAAGAGGCTACTAGGTTTTCAAGGCAACCGGACGTCGTAAAGGAGTGTTAACTAACTCTGCCTTTGCTTCGCCCACTGACGGGTGGCCCACGGTTCCGGCAAGATCACTGTGTCAGTAAGGGCACACGGGTATTTTTCACCACACGTGGAGAAGCGCCTGTCAGCAAAGCCCGCTACTTCAGAGGACTCTGAAAGCAGTCTGAATGGGAGCAGGAGAGGGGAAAGGAGACAGACGGACATGGAGTTTGTCATGCAAAGAAAATGGGTCTGACTGTATTCTCTAATTCTATGTGTATACAGAAGACATTTAATTCTTAGATGTTTAAAATGTGTGGGATGAAGGGGAAAAAATGCATGAGGAAAAAACCCACAATCATGCAAATTCCTTAGTGTAGGAGGAGTGGCAGGTTTCCCACATTATAGCTTCCTCCGTCTGACACATCACAGCCTGTTGACCCACCCTGGAGTGGTGACCGCAGGCTCCTCCACAATTCACAGTCATCACTGGGAGTCCATGCAGACACCAACATTTCTAGATGTATTCAACCAAGCTCAAATTTAAATAATTTGCTATGAAAACTGTAGGATAAAAAGTAACTTTGAAAATTCACAGCCATGTAACGTTATCTAAGACTAGTAGCGTATATAATTACCAATCTTATATAAAATTTAAGCCATGAATATTGAATAAAATTCAGAATGGCAGAGAAATGCCCCAATATAAGTTCAATAAATATAACATGTTATCTTTATTATGATCTGAAATATAAATGAATTTCTGCTTCAAATACTGCAAAAACCAATCTCTAGTCTAAAGCTACAAAATTTCTGTCAGAAAATCATGTGGCCTGAAGCAAAAATAAACTATTGGGACTATATCAAAATAAAAAGCTTCCGCACAGAGAAGGAAATAATCAGCAAAACTAAAAGGCAGCCTACAGATGGGAGAAGATATTTATAAATGACACATCAAATAAAGGGCTAGTATCCAAAATCTATAAAGAACTTATCAAACTCAACACCCAAAAAACAAATTATCCAACTAAAAAGTGAGCAGAATGGGGCCCCTGAGTGGTGCAGTCTGTTACGCGTCCGACTCTTGGTTTCAGCTCAGACCATGATCTCAGGGTCGTGGGATGGAGCCCCATGTTGGGCTCTGTGCTCAGCAGGAGGTCTGTGTGAGATTTTCTCCCTCTGCACCCCCCCACACACGCACTCATGTGCTCGCTCTCTAAAATAAATAAGTCTTTAAAAAAAAAAAATGGGCAGAATGAACAGACATTTCTCCAAAGAAGACATACAAATGGTCAACAGACACATGAAAAAGTGCTCAACATCGCTCGGCATCAGGGAAATCCAAATCAAAACCTCAATGAGATACCACCTCACACCAGTCAGAATGGCTAAAATTAACAAGTCAGGAAACGACAGATGTTGGCAGGGATGCGGAGAAAGGGGAACCCTCCTACACTGTTGGTGGGAATGCAAGCTGGTGCAGCCACTCTGGAAAACAGTATGGAGGTGCCTCAAAAAGTTGAAAATAGAGCTACCATACGATCCAGCAATTGCACTACTGGGTATTTACCCCAAAGACACAAATGTAGTGAAAAGAAGGGTTATATGCACCCCAATGTTCATAGCAGCAATGTCCACAATAGCCAAACTGTGGAAAGAGCCGGGATGCCCTTCAACAGATGAATGGATAAAGACGATGTGGTCCATATACACAATGGAATATTATGCAGCCATCAGAAAGGATGAAATCTTGCCATTTGCAGTGATGTGGATGGAGCTAGAAAGTATAATCCTAAGCAAAATCAGTCAGAGAAAGACAAATACCATAAAATCTCACTTACACGTGGAATTTAAGAAACAAAACAAATGAGCAAAGGGGGGATAAAAAAAGAGAGAGACAAACCCAGCAACAGACTCCTAACAACAGAGATACACTGCTGCTCACCAGAGGTGGTGGGGAGATGGGGGAAACAGGTGATAGGGATTGAAAAGTACACTTATCATGATGAAAAACTATAATAAAATGATAAAAAAAATCAGATTGTCTGTCAGTTAAAAATACAGTTGATAATTATGCAAATGCCAAATAAAAACACAGACCAAAATCACCTACTTGACCCGTAACACTGAAGGAGGAGGGCCTGAGATCTCCCCACAAGCACCACTGTGATACAGACTGCCACTCAGCATGCCAGGCTTCCGAGTCCGTGCAGTCTCTGTCATCTGGATGCACGGCTACACGACAGGGAAAGCCCCCAGCCTCCTCTGCAGTTAGTGCTCTCGCCGATGAGGGGTGTGCAAGCGCAATCACATCCCCTCCGCTTCTACCCTACTGACCGGGACGCAGATGCCGTGGGCGATGCCCCACCTCGGGACTGTGCAGAGGAGGCTACACTCAGCACGGCAACCACACAGAATGTCCTTCCATCCTGAGCACAGTCCCTACAGCAGCTCAGGCTTCCAGGGGAGAAAAGCGCATTTATCCTGTGCAAGGTCTCAGACAGATGCTGCCAAAACCGATTCTCGATATCCTGAGGTTCCTCAGCTATAATATGGGGTTAACGTAATCCCTTTTTCTCAGCTTACTGGAAGGATTAAATGTCTTCAATAGAAGAAAGTAAAACCTATGGGAAGGTTCCAGACCATCTACTAGGCTCAGTCTTCAGCTAAATAACATGTGACTTCTCATCAGCCTTGCATATGGGCAAACTCAGCCAATGACAAGTTATGGCGCTCTGTGGGGACTTCACCATACATGTGCAGCAGGCAAAGGACGGGGCTCTGTGTGGCTGTAACTTACATGCTGTGACTGATAGTACGCGGGTTAGTCTCTCTTTCCAGGTCCCGACTCCAGGATTCACATCTCTTCCAGCCATCTTCTGTCTTAATCCAGCTCCATCCAGGAGATCTCCAGTCCTGACCCAAAAATGGCATAGTTCTCCTGTAAAAGAAGTACTTTATTTTTTTTAAAGATTTTATTTTTTTATTTAATTGACAGAGAGAGAGAGAGAGAGACAGCGAGAGCGGGAACACAAGCAGGGGGAGTGGGAGAGGGAGGAGCAGGCCTCCCGCCAGGCAGGGAGCCCGACGCGGGGCTCGATCCCAGGACCTTGGGATCATGACCTGAGCCGAAGGCAGACGCTTAACGACTGAGCCACCCAGGCCCCCCCCTTTTTTTTTAAGATTTTATTTATTTGACAGAGACAGCGAGAGAGGGAACACAAGAAGGGGGAGTGGGGGAGGGAGAAGCAGGCTCCCCGCTGAGCAGAGAGCCCGACGCGAGGCTCCATCCCAGGACCCTGGGATCATGACCTGAGCCGAAGACAGACGCTTAACGACTGAGCAACCCAGGCGCC